AGCTTCGGCAAAAGCTCTTTGTGCATTCTGGTCTTCACCGTGAGCCCTAAATTTGATGTTTGTGTGTGGATTGCTGATTGTTGCATGTGTTTTGTGTTGGGTTCCACTGTGGGTGCTTCTTGAGTCAAATCTGCTCCGACTGGTGCTCTATTGTTTGGACTATGGTTGGATTGTTCACTAATTTTTTTGGATTGTAGTTTGGGTGTTTTTGTTTTTGGTTGATACATATTTTTTTTACATGGCAACTTCGGATTAGAGTAAAACTATTTTTGTTGGTGACTCAGTTAAGCAAATTATCTCAGCCGCTAATCAAGTTCGACATAACTTGTCAAATTAAATGGAAGCAATTATCACTCATGGTCTCATGCTATCAAGGTTTTTCTTTGTGCAAGAAGGAAAGTCAAATATTTAACTGAGAGTCCCGCTCGAGACCTCAAAGGATTCTGAAGATTGATGGAGTAAGAATTCTTTAGTGATGACCAAGTTGTGGCTTAGCTTGAAACCCTCAGTAGTTTATAATGTTAAATTTTTTGACATGACCAAGAAAATATGACTCACTTGAGGAGATGCACTCCCAAAAACATAATGTGTCTCAAATTTATGAACTATTGAACAAATGTTTAATACCAGGCAAGGTAACAAATCACTTGCAGAACATTATGATATTTTGAAGGGTTATGGGAGGAACTTCTACTTTATCAGCCACTAAGTACCGACCTCGAGGTACAAAGACAACAACGGGAAGAATTTCAATTTACTTTACTCTTATCCAATCTTAATTCTAAATATGGAGTGTTTAAAGATCATATTTTGGCTGGTGAAAAACTTTCAACTACTGCTAATGCTTATTCATGTCTTCTGAGAGCCTCTTTAACTCATGAAACTCCTTTATCCTCCCGGGAGTCATTTGTTTTATTTTCTAGTGATGATAGTCATGGCGGTGGTCGTGGAGGTGATTATAGTGGTGTTCGACATCCTCACCAAGGTGATAATCATGGTGATAAAGATAATGGTCCTGGAGGTTGTGATGGTCATAGCAATTGTTCTGAGTAAAAGTGTTCTTATTGTGGAGCTACTACCATACTGAAGATTATTGTTGGGATAACATAGAAGACCAGCTTATGTTAATAAAGTTTCTAATGACCTAATTCCTCATGTATCTCTGTCATCGACTAGTGAGCATGATACATCCACATCTGGCTCTCATGATGATCTCACTTCTTAGCTCACTCAGCTCATCTAGTAATTATCTTTGCACTCTCCAACAACTGTTGGTTTAGCCACAATAGGTAATTTTGCACATGTGATAACCAATCAACTTCATCATCTTGGATTATTGATTCAAGAGACGGTTCCCACATGTCTAGTATTTCCCCTAGTTTTCTAATTTTCGTTCTTCTAACTCTTGTATTGTGCTAGCTGGTTGTTCCTCTAGACCAATACATGGGACTCGTGATCTCCATCTTACTAAATCCATGTCATTAGCATATGGTTTATTTTTCTTTAGTTTTTTTAATCTGTTATCTATGAGCCAGTTAACCAAGTCTTCATAGTATTTAGTGACAGTTTCTCTATTTTCTTGTGTTTTTCAAGACGTCTAAATGAAAGTGATTGGTTTGGGATATGAGCAAAATGAACTTTACTGTTTAGATTTCAGAGTGCTTGCATTGAGTGCTACCGTGGCTCCCCTCCAATGTTATTTTTGATTAGGTCACCCTTACTACAAAAACTTCGTCAAGTTATCTCTAATTTGAGTCCTTTTGTTATGTGAGAATGTGAAACTTGTCAATTAGGCAAACATCACCGTAATTCTTTTCCTACTAGTAGAGTAGGAGTCATTAGTCTGGTCCTTTTTTTGTTGTTCACTCTGACATTTGGAGTCCTTCAAAAATATTTCTAAATTTCATTATTTTGTAATCATTGTTATTGATTATTCTCGTATTACTTGGTTATTTCTTATGAAGAATCGTTCAAAATTACCTAAAATTTTTCTTACCGTCTACAATAAAATTTTTGTACACTTTGATAAACATATTAAGATATTTCGTTTTGATAATGCACTTGAGTATGTACAATTCTTTATGCATACATTTTGAGATGATCATAATATTATTCATCAAACTATATATCCACATACATCACAATAAAATGGTGTAACGGAATGCAAACATAGTCATTTATTGAATGTTGCTCGTACTCTCATGTTTAGCATACATGTACCTAAATTTGATTAAGCAGAGGCCGTTCTCACTGCAATCTATCTTATTAAACGAATGTCTTCCCCCATCTTGAGTCTCAAATCTCCATCCTTACTCTATCCTAATACATCACACTTTGGTCTCACTCCTCGTGTCTTTGGTTGTATTATATTTGTTCACCTTTTTGATGCGAGTCAAGATAAACTTTCTCTTCTCTAGGTTCAGGGTGTCTTTCTAGGATACACTCATACTCAGAAAGGTTAATGCTGTTATGACCCTAACTCTCATCGATATTATAGCAGTGCCGATCTCATCTTTTTTGAGTCATCTTTTTTTCTATTTCAAAAACTACTCTTTCCGAAATTGATTTCTACTAGTCATAGAGAGCTCATGTTGCCTCGTGTGCCTGATTGTGTCTTTTCTCCATCTTCGCCTTCTGACCATCCATTGCAAGCTTGCTGTCATTCCACAAACAAATAGGTTATTTCATATGCTCCAGCACCTTGGCCACCACCTAATTCTACTGAGGTCTTTTCTCCTAAGACGTCCACTGTATCACCCTCTTCTGATTTGCCTATTGCATTGCGAAAAGATACTCATACTTGCACTCAAAATCTCATCTATAATTTTATCTCTTTACATCTGCTCTTCTCATCCTTTTGTTGTTTTACATCGGTCTCCTTTTCTATATTTGTTCCTAACTCTCTGAAATAGGCATTAACATCTCCTGGATGGAAATTATTTATGGATGAGGAAATTAAGGCACTTCATGAAAATCATACAAGGAACCTCACTTCTCTTCTGATTGGAAAACAACCTATTAGTTGTTGCTGGGTTTATACTATGAAATATTATCTTGATGGCTTTGTTGAGCATTTGATGGCACGACTGGTTGCTAAGGGCTGCACCCAAACATATGGTGTGAATTATAATGAGACATTCTCCCATGTTGCTCATCTTAACTCTATTACAGTCAGTTCTGACTAACCCTTGTATCAACTAGACATGAAGAATGTCTTCTTACATGAAGATCTACAAGGGGTCTATATAATTCATCTAGGTTATGTAATTTCAGGACAGGAGTAATCAGTGTGTCGTTGAAGAAAACACTATATGGTTTGAAACAGTCACCAAGTGTTTGGTTTGATAAGTTCATTAACGTGATACTTTAGTTTGGATTTTAGAGCTTTACCTCTAATCATTCAATTTTCATTCCTCGGCTTCCACAAGCATTATTGTTGTTATTGTGTATATTGATGGCATCATTATCAGTGATAATAACTCAAATGATATTGCCCCTCTTCAAGACCTATTTGAGAAAATAGTTTCATACCAAAGACTTGGGCCTTCTTCGGAACTTCCTAGGAATTGAAATTGCTAAATCAAAGAAGGGTATTAGTTTGTGCCAACGGAAGTACGTACTAGATTTACTAATTTAAACTAGTACTCTTGGTGCCCGTCCAATCGATATGCATATGGACTCCGCAGTTAAATTAAATCCTGAGAGTGGTGAAGTATTTGATGATATAAGGCATTATCAGATGTTGGTTGGTAAGCTAATTTACCTTATAGCTACACAACTTGATATTACATACTGCTAGTGTGGTTAGTCAATTCATGCATACTCCTCGTAAGACTTATTAGGAGGTTGTCTATCATATACTTCGATATCTAAAAGGAGCTCCGAAAAAATGATTGTTATACCATCCATCATCATCCATAATTGTTGTTGATTTTTCAAATGTTGACCGGATTGATAGTCATGGTGATAGATTATCTACTTCTAGTTATTGTACATTTGTTAATGGTAATCTTGTTATTTGGCACAAGAAGAACATTGTTGCACATTCTAGTGCAGAGGTTGAGTATCGAGTTATAACACACTGCTTGTAAGATGTTATGGGTCTACTCTTTACTTCATGATATGCGACTTGATGTGTCTTTCTCTATGCTGATGCATTGTAACAACTAAGTAGTTGTTTCCATTGCAAGTAATCCTATATTTCATGAGCTTACCAAACACATTGAGGTGGATTGCCTTTTCATTAGATATTTCTTAATGCGAAAGGAAATCATCAATCCATATATCAAGTTTTGTAATCAACCGGATGATATTCTTACCAAACCATTGGTTTGGTCCGCCCTCAATAGTTTATATTCCAAACTGGACATTTTAATTTTTATGCTTCAACTTGAGGGCGAGTATTAGAGTTCTTAGTTTCTATATCAGACATAAGCTAATTAGTCTTGGGTAATATTGTAATTACCTTAATATTGCTCAGTTATAAATAGAGAGTGTAGGGCAACCTGACAACTTTACTGATTATTCTTTCTTTCCTTCTCTCATTACTTTCTCTCCTTCTCTCCCTCTCTTCTAACCCTAACCATAATACTACGATTACTGTTTTAACTAATAGTAAAAGTGAATATGAATTGATGAACAAGAGATTTCGATACAAGACAATCCTTTACAAAATGAGGCAAACCAAACGCTTTACATCACATCATCTACCAGATCACATGAACCTCCAAGCAATCACCCAAGCAAATTTTGCTACCTAAACCTTTTAAGTTCTAATAAAATGAAAATACAGCCCTTTTATCCACAATAGAAAAGGAAACTCAAAACCCAAATAGAGTGAGACGTACCAATAGACACATCATTTTACCACCAGTGTTAGCTTGACTAATATCTCGAGCCAGCCCCCCCAAAAAAGGTCCATGGTTAAATCCCACCTAAATAGCGGGAATGCGGGCAATTGACCAAAAACACAACAAACTACCATGTGAATCCTGTAAAGACTACTCTAACAATAACAGCACTGGTGGTCCAAGAAGGAAGCAATATATAATCTCCCATAAAGCAAGTATCCTAATTAGGCGGCCATCTGAAGACCTGTCTAAACACCTAATGTCATGGTGCTTGTTGCATGTCCAAGCACAACAATGATTGATTTCTTCACATCCCCTTTCTGGCTCCTCCTGAAGATTCAAAAGGTGACCACTCTCTATAAGGTAAGAGGTCAGTACCATAGTTATCAAATCGTGTATCGGAAGGCGTATCTTNACTTTCTTTTGTACAATAAAGAATTCAGAGGTAGATTTGGCACTGAAGAAAATTAAATTAGGTAAGGCTTTAGGACCAGATGAGATTTCAATTGAGGTTATGAAGTGCTTAGGGAATGAGGGGGTGTCGTGGTTAATGAAATTATCCAATAGAATTATTGCTACTAGGAAACTACCCGATGAATGGATAAAGAGCATTTTAGTACATATCTATAAAAATAAAGAAGATATTCAAAATTGTAATAATTATAGAGGGATAAAGTTGATGAGTCATAAAATGAAATTATGGGAAAGGCTCATTGAATGACGCATAAGAGTTGAGACTACAATGTCAAAAAATTAGTTTGGGTTGATGTCAGGTAGATCAACTATGAAGGCTATATATTTATTAAGGACACTCATAGTAAAGTGTAGAGAGAAGAAGAAAAAGTTCATATGTTATTTATAGATCAAGAAAAGGCGTATGATAAAGTACCTAGAAATATAATATGGAGGGTGCTTGAGAGAAAAGGTGTGACAAATAGGTATATTGAGGTGATAAAGGACATGTCTGATGGGGCTATGACTACAATTAAGTCTTCCGTGGGAGAAAGTAAATAATTTCCAATCACGGTGGGATTACACAAAGGGTAGGCCCTAAGTCTACACCTATTTGCCCTAATTATGGATGAACTCACCAGTCACATTCAAGATGATGTCCCATGGCGTGCCATTTACATATGATATTGTANCGTAACGTATCGTACGATACGTATCGCGTATCGTACGATACTAACAACTTTGGTCAGTACACAGATAATTATTTTATCCCTTCCATGCATCAAAAACCATTTTTGAAAAATCTACTGGATGTCAATCCCACACATCGCAGGCCTCCCACAAATGATAAAGATCGGCCATGTTGTCATGAGAAGTGTGGGAAGTCGATAGTGTGCTCGATGATTGCACATTTTATACTCTCATATTCCACTTAGCCTTGATTCATCCACACTTAAGCAAAGTTGAACAAAGTGGATTTCAAGAAAACGTAAATTTCTTTATCTAGTCACCATTTGGTTTATGACATCCCCCAAATAGGTAAATAGTCAATCTCATTTTCTTCTGTATATCTAGTAGAGATCACCCTATTGAAGCCCCCTTCCCCTCTACTATCGTTTATATAAATAAAATCTTAATTGCATGTTGAGGGAGAGATAGAGGGAGATAGAGAGAGAAAGCAGAAACAATCATATTTTGGAAGCATGTACCCACCTTGTAAAGCATAGTTAGCTTGCGATTTGATGAGTCAATGTAAGCACTGACATGATAATTTGCTACACCAAAAGCTTTCTTTGAATGAGATTCATCATTTCCATTTTCATGAGCTAATGCAGTAAGTTCATGAAAGTGAGTTGCAAACAATGTAGGGGCTGTAATCACTTCCACAAGATGCTCACAAATGGCCCAGGCTAAACCTGATCATCAAAATAAAACACTTTTGGTAACAAAATTTGTGGATGATTTGTAGCAGGAATCTGTAGTTCTCCATAAAAACAAAAATAAGATCAGGTAATGTAAGTTCCAAGCTGAAGATCACAATGATGGGCCACAGCAATAACAATCAAAAGCGAATAAAACATGCATTGAGGATTAATTATTCGATGGGGTTGGATCCACCAGTTGAAAACACGAATTTATCACACCCAAAACGCCAATAATTATTTATGACTGTCCATCACATTTAGATCATCCCTTCATCTTTTCATCATAGAATAATGTGCATTTGATTCTGCACTTGTTGATCCATCCAGCAAAAATCCAAATGTTTTCATCAAACTATTCCCAAGTTTAAAATAATGAAAATATTTCTATAGTTTAGTGTGATATGCAATTCTATTTGCATGTAATTCATTGTGTTCCAAGTTAAAGAACTATAATGGGCGTACTTGCCAGTAAAACTTCCATAACACTAAGTTGGGAGTAAAAAGAAGAGGAGATATTAGTAGAGTATACTTTAGCTCATTCACTGAGAATGAGATTTAAATCTTGAATATCCTTTTCCTTACAATGAGAATGAAGCAATGTTTATAAATACATGATGTTGATTGATAGGTAAGGACATTTTTTTTTTGGGTGGGGGAAGACGAGAGAGAGGGTGAGAGAGAGAGATTTTCCCTTTATCTTGGATAAGCCAAGATTGCAACGAGGGAATGCATTGTGAATACTAATTTAGTCTATTTGGTTAAATACAAAATGCTAGAAAAAGTTTCAAATTGTCCCAGGAGTTTGTTTAGTAGGAAATAAAAAATAATAGAGATAAAAGCTTTCCTACATTTCTCAAAGTAACCAACTTTTTTCCATGCAATAAACACAGAAAAATTAAACTTTTCCCATGAAGGCATGGTTCAAGGTTGCGGTAGTATCGGTCATCGACTCGGAGAGCTGTGAAACACACTGGTTGCGTCGTCCTGACGTGGTATTGAGCGATACGACATAAAAGAAAATGTTGACCATGACAAGAGATTCCAGACATACTGTGGCATCGCGGAATCATATCGGCCAATTTGGTGATGATAACACGGTAACTCGGGATTGACTCAGATACAACTTGGCAAACTCGGACGAGTTGTGCGAGACTCAGAATTTATATGTATCGTGTAATAGTATCGTCTCGGAAGGTGCTGAGTCAGATATAACTTGGCCGACTTGTATCAGTAGCGGCCGAAATTTTGTATCGCACATGAATGTGGTTATACATAACTTGAATTTCAAATTTAGCCATCTTTTTCTAACAATTTCCAATTTGTCAATGAGGTCCATACTCAAACCCATCTCTTGAATTTTATAAATTGTTGACTAATCAGATTTTTAAATAATCTTTTATTTTCCTAGGAAAAAGCATCATTTATAGGTTTGAAAATGATCTAGTTTTAAAAAGAAAGTAGTTAAGCTTGCTATTTTATTTGCCTACAATTTTCTTAATAAGTACGAATACAAAGAAAAATATTTTTCTTCCAGTTTCCTTACTTTCACTTTTTTCCCTACTGCTTTCCCTTTCCCTTTCCCTTATTCTTCACTTTAATTGAATGAGCCCCAAAGGAACGAGAGAACAACATATTTGAGAGAAATAAAATACAAATATACATTTCAATGTGTGAATCCAAACCAACGGATACGTTAGCTTTGAACAATATATACCACATTGATCAGGATCAAAAATCGCAGTGGTATTATGCGCCAGGGATGTTGGTAACAATGATACAAACTTAAGTCTCTTACTTGATAAGATTATATTATTTCTTAGTAAAAGGCTACAAAGTAGTTGGCTTTTTGCTCTCCGTGCTACTGCGTGATAGGATCATAATATTATTAAACACGTCACCTATATATTATTATATGAAACTATGATGGCAGACGTGTGCGAAATCGTTCAAATTAAAATTAAGTTTTATCTCAGCTCGGGGCTCCCTTTGGTGAACTTAACATGTGTAACTTTGAGCTGAAATCAGCACATTAAATTGTACGAATCCATTCACTTGCATTCCATTCACTTACCAAATGCAAGAAAATAAATGTCCCAAAAAAAAAAAATGAGGCTGCAAATATCTCACAATCAAACTGCTGCAGAGAGAGAGAGAGAGAGAGGATCATATTACTATTATTAAACACGTCAACTATATATTATTATTTTCAACTATGAATGGCAGACGTGTGCGAAATCGTTCAAATTAAAATTAAGTTTCATCTCGGTTCGGGGCTCCCTTTGGTGAACTTAACATGCATAACTTTGAGCTGAAATCAGCACATTAAATTATCCGAATCCATTCACTTACCAAATGCAAGAAAATAAATGTCCCAAAAATAGAAAAGCTGAGGCTGCATAAATCTCATTCTCAAGCAGAGAGAGAGAGAGTTTACTAACCAAATCCATCATAAGTTGATGTTCCACGGCCCAACTCGTCAATGATTATCAATGACTTATCAGTAGCTCCTTTCAAGATTGATGCAGTCTCGAGCATTTCTTGCATAAAGGTAGAAACTCCACGTAGCTATTCAAGGGGAAAGGAGAAGAGAATGAAAAATGAGAAAACATACTGTCACAATTGTACCACTCAGAAAACACATATTGGACTACTCTTTGAGCACAAGCTGCTCAGAAGCCAAACTAGAAGCATCAACTGACCATTTAATAAATGAGAAAAAAATACAGTTATTTAATTGGCAACTGATAAACATTGTGTTGAAATTTGGCTCTGAGATCCAAATTCAATCACTTTGAATGGCTTTTCAAGACAACTTTACAAATGCTAAGTAGTATATAATGCATACATACTCTTGATATCATGTACTTCCAATAGTTTCAAGATATTATTGTTCAACCAATTGGTTATCATGATCAGCTCAACAGATTGGTTTCCAATGAGCTTCACTACATATTGGCAAAGATTCAAGTCTCTTATTCTCATCATAAGGGTGCTGGATTTAGGACAAGGGCGTTGGGTTTTGGCTGGGGACTGTGGACCTAAACTTGCCAGCTTCAGAAGAAGGCAGTGCAACAGAGTATTTTACTGGTCAGTTGCTGGTTGCCAGTTGCCAGTTGCCGGTTGCCGGTTGCCATCTAAGGTTTGTGAACATTATAAATGGTCAGAGATTCAAGCTTTTAAGGTTTGAGTTTGAGAAAAATAAATCCTTTTTAGAATATTTATAGATGTGTAAATATGTAGCATGAACTTCCTTTATATATTAGAAAGGACACAAACATATTTTTTGTTGCCCAGACCCCTCCCTGGCAACATGTAGGAGTTAGACCACATTATGCATAAACATTGCCCCAAGCCACAACAATAACGCACTGCTAAATTAAACCGCAACTTTCCTAAATTTGCTGGTAGCAATTTATAAATCAACACTTTCGTAGAGCCCAACTCTTATTTAAAAAAAAAATAATTCATTTACCGCTTCAATAATTAAATCCAGTACAACAGTGTTATTTAAGGTGTAAAGCGAACCGAAGCGACCAAGGCTCCTAAAGCCTAGGCGAGAAGCGAAGCGCTTCATTGAAACGATGTGAACAGTGAAAAATAAATAAATATTTTAGAGAAGCAGAGAATCAGAAAAACAAAAGCAGAATCAGAATCAGAATCAGAGATGCTGCAGCAGAAGCCATAAACATAAGCAGAATCAGAATCAGAGATGCAGCAACAGAAGACATAAACATAAGCAGAATTACAAAAAGAATCAGGATAAGCAGTAAAGAAACAGAATAAGCAGATTAGCATAAACAAAATCACCATACACAGAAGCAACATAAACAGAGAAGAAGAATCTCAGCCAAAATAAAACAGTAGCACATAAACACAAACACAGAAGAAGAGCCAAAATAAAATAGAAGCAAAAGCAAAGAAGAAGAAGAAGCAGAAGCAGTAGCAACAGAGAGGAAGCAGAAGCAGAGAAGAAGAAGAAGCAGAACCAAAACTAGTAGCAAAATAGGAGAAGAAGGAGAGAAGATGCAGAACCAGAAGAAGCAGAATCAGGAGAAGAAGAAGAGAAAATAACATACCTGGGTTCTGTCGACGAAGAATACAGAAAGCAGCATAGAAGAAGCAGAAGCAGAAACAGGTACTGAGCAGTGTTTTCTATCGAAGAAGAATTAAAAAAAGAAGAGAAGAGGAGAAGAGGAGAAGGAGAAAAAAAAACAGAAGCAACAATAAAGATGAAGAAGAAGAAGAAGGAGAAGAGTGGGAGCAAACCTGTCGGGAGTCGGGACTTCTTCAGGAAAGAGATGAGACTTCTTCAGGAGCTGCTCCTGTCTTGTTTAGGCAAATTTAGGGTTTGGATGTTAAATATATTGGGATAAAGGGCAATCAGGTGTATGGGCATCTCACAATTTTATTCCAATTGCCCCAATTCAACGGTCCATAATAAAAATAAAGCAACTTTAAAAACTTTACAAAAGCGTTGCTTCTCTTACTTTTTTCTCATTTTAATCACATTCACTTCGCCTGGGTGCTCAAGGCGACAAACCCTCGATTTGCTTTGCTTCTCACCTAGGCGAGCTTTTCAAAACACTATAGTACAGAACCTTGTCATTGAATAAATCAGGCCGAGGAACAAAGCAACAAGGAGAAGAGAAGAAAACGGCAGCTGTCCATTCACGAGCTTCATTATTTTTTAAAGTACCTGCTAGCTAAAGTTGGGAACTGTCACCGAGTGAAAAAAGGTTGCAAGTGAATCCATAGATACTAAACTAATGGATGGTGGATAAACACATCAAATGCAACAAATAAATTTCAATGGACCAACTTTTTCACTAAGTTCATTTTTGTAATATTCAATTTCATGAAAGCCCAACAGAGCATATTGTAGAACCCACCTGACAGTCACCTGCACCCACACGAGCGAATATACAATCACGCACAGAAATGCTAGCTTTGTCACAAGGAACAAAGGAGCCAACTTGTGCCATCAGGATGTTGACGCCAACCTGCAAGGGAGAACAAAATAGAGAACAAAATAGACAGCTATAACAAACACAATTAAAAATGAAAGCATATAACTCATTACAATTTAAAAAGCTCAAATTATCCTGTATTACAAGGAAACTAAAATGCACAACCGTGCCTTCAATGGCTACGCTCTTTAACATGGTGAGATCAAAACAAATTATCAAAAAGAATTGCAGCATGGGTATCAGAGTCACCACCTGATAATATGGAAAGGCCACGTACACATCACAATTCCAATTTTCTATTTACATGGGTCGGATCTATGTATTTATTCACCTCAAAACAAACTAATAGATAAAAATCAGTAAATTTTAAGCAAAGCATAAGTGTTGCACCTGTCGTATGAATGTGGACTTTCCACCCATGTTAGGCCCTGTGATGAGTTGGAACCAACTCTTTCCCCTGACCTGTTTGTTTGAAAGTCCCAAGAAGCAAGGAATTAGTCACTTCATTAAAATTTTATGCCAGACTAAGCATCATCCCTTGATTGCATGAATACTTACTAGCTTACAATCATTAGGTATAAAGTTCACCCAGTCTTGAGCTTCCACACAAGGATGTCTACTCCCTTCTAATACAATATCTCCCATATCCTGTCAAGCCAATGTTCCAATAAGTACAACAATAGCTAGTGCACTTTCAAAACAGAAAAGGAAAATCATTATCGTTTTTGAGACCAAAATAGTAGATAAATGGTAAATTATTACAGATGGAGTGATGTCTGGTCTTGTGTAGGGAGTGGGGCAACTAGCAGCCAGATCAGCAAAACTAAGTAAGACGTCCAATTCAGACAGCAGTACAGCTAAACCCTCAAACACCTGCAGGACTAAAACCTTCATCAAACCAAAATAATAGCCAGAAGAGAGGAACAAAACATAATAAATTTGTATGTACCTCAGAGAAAGTCAAAGCTGTTTGAACTACTCGGACAACCAGCTCTTTCTGACAGTTCTTGTACTCCTCAAGTATCTTTTGGTACTGGTCCCCTAATTTCTTGAGCTTTGAATTTGTAAATTTTACCCCATCTTTTCGGGTTTCAAGAACAATAAAATGGGTATTGAGCTTCTTCCTTACTTTTGGCTCTTCCTTCTTTGTAATTCTAAACACATGTCCAAATTGTGTGGCCTTATCTAGTTTTAAAGCCTTATCAATAGCCAGATCAAGATCACAAGCAGTTTGTTTATGCAAATTTTGTATTTGATGTTCTAGAGACTCTTGCTCGTCCTTTAGTTCAGATAATCTTGGGTCATAGCCAGATGAAATCATGTATTCTCCATTCTCCAGTTGATCAAGGTCAACAGAAGCTTCCACAAGACCAATAAATTTATTCAAGTGATCATCGTCAGCCCAGAACTCTAGGGGATCCATATACCTTTCCTTGATCAGTGATGCAAATTGCCCATTGTACTGTTTGAATGCACTTCTAATGTATGGAAGCCTGATACTTGACTGCATTCATACAAAAAACACCAGTAAACTATTTAATGTGCAGCAAATTTTTATTAAGAGATTATAAATATGGAAAAGTATGCATCCTCAATACTGTTGCAACCTTTTTTGTTCTTGATCAAATTTGCAAAGGATGTTTTTGCATATAATATGTAAACCAAGTTAAAAAAAATTCTTAATCCCATTCACAAAGGAATTTTTTGTACAGTCTAGTAAACTAAGTGATAACATAACAAATAACAGAGATTTTGAGAAAGAATCCATAATATAACAATTTAAAGGCTTTTTTTAAAAGTTATTTGACAAAAAAACAATAATTTAAAGCTATTGCTCATACTATAAAATGAGAGATCCAAAACATAGAACAACCTGATAAAGCTTCACAATATGCAACAAACTAGCTCTCCTCTTCTCCAGGTTGCGCATCAAACGCTCAATATCTGAAATTCTTTTCAAATGCTGCCTGAGATCTTGCCGAAGTGCAGTATCCTCCACAAAAGCTTGTACCAAATCCAGCCTGGAGTTTATTTCGTTCACATCTAATAGAGGCTGTTTCAGCCACATATGCAGCAGTCTTTTACCCATCCCAGCAGTACAGGTTCTATTCATGAGTCCAAACAAACTAAAGTTTTTGTTGGCATCAGTTTTGCTCTCCATGACATTCAGTGCCCTCATAGCAGCAGAATCTAACCTCATATAGCTGTCAAGATTGTACTCCCGGATAGTATAATTTCCATAATTGCTTTCGTCAGCAAGTAGTTCTGCATAAGACAATAATGACCCCAATGCCCCAGGTGCAATCTCAAACCCAGATACTAAATCTCGAACTGGTTCTATGGAACCTTTGACAAGTCTACCAAGATCCTGTTGTATATCCCTACCTTTAAAATCAGTTTTTTTCCTTTCTGTTAACATCACACCACATCTTGACGCTGCATCGTACAATGGTCTACATTCACTGGATTTGATACTCTCCATAGGCAAAAGGCATTCCTTGCAACCAAGAGCAACCAAAGCAGACTCCACATTTGTAAAGTGGTTATCATCAAGAAATTCAGCCAATCCAAGCACCCTCTTAGTAAGATTAACATAGGCCAACCCAACAAAGCACCCATTTTCCCGAAAGTTTGGGACCAGAGCAACAATTACTGGGGAATCCTGCATCTCATTGTTGGCAAACAAAATGTCCTCGAAACTGCCAAGATTTCCTGGCGTTCCACTTTTCACAAGTCTCCAATTAGATCCACTGCCCTCGTATAGCTCAAGGGTATGATCAGTTCTCTCCAAGAGAAGATCTCGGGCAATAGTCTCAAACATGGTTTTACTTACACTAACACTAGAAATGGCATCAGCTCCACTACCCAATTGCCGCAAAGCCGTGGTCGTATGGTAATATGTCTTTGCAATGAAAGTTGCATTCTCACCATGTGCAGTATAATAGTCCTGATTGAATGCCTCAGTGGTTTTAATGATGTGACCAAAAAATGAATATAGACAATTCTAAGTGCAACAAAATATTAGAATTGTAAGAAAATGAACATAAATAAGTCTAAGTGCAACAAAATACTAGAATGATGCAGTGGGGAGTAAATGCTTATCATAGTAGCAACTTGAATTTTTGTCTGAAAATATCAAGAAGCAAAAAGAGAAAGAAGGTGCACAATATTTTGCATGTATCTCCACATAAAAAAAAATGTATCTACGTTCCTCCCAAGTGTCCTATCTCACATTCCTATTCTTCTGTTTTCATTTTTTAAATTAGTTTCAATTAGGTAGCCTGTAACTATTGGTCCGATTTTTGGAAGACTTATCTTAATCATTTATGTGCTTCATTCAAAATTTTCTCTTAAAATAACTTGTAATTTTTTTATGTAATGAATAGAGAAACACGCACAAGCACACGTCTTTCGTTTCTATATATGAAAGATTAAGCACAAGCATGCATGTGCATGTGTCTGCAATATAGTCATCAATATCAGATTTACAATTAACTTAAGGGAGAGAAAATCAAGTCAGGAAGCAAATGATTAACATTACATACTGGATAGTTAGACAGGAAAGAATAGAGGAAAGAGAATGATTTTACTTGGGTTGTGGCGATTCTACCAGCGGTAACTTTATCTTTTCAAAATAAGATATTTATCTTCGATTTAATTGCATAGTTGTTAAGATGATTGTTCTATCTCATAATTATTTACATACTAGAGGAGATTAAGGGACACTATATAACTTTAAGAAGAGATTAAGGGAGCCAACTCTCTCTTCTTTAGTATACTGGAACTTGCAGCACATGCCATGCGTGTCCAACGTCATTATAAATTTCAAATTTGGCTAATTTTATGGGTGCTTCTGTTTATAGTACAGCAAACTAAGAAAACTTCACATTACTTCTGAAATATGAGGTGTTTGAGTAGACACCAAGATACCAGGCTGACACCTGCCTTAATATATATTAGACATCCTACACACATTTATTTGAGTGCAGTTAAAGATGGTGTTATGGCTATTTATCTGGGAAGAAACAAAGGGTATTATGAGCATTTTAAGAGTGGACACCAAATCCTCTCCTCTCCCTTTATTGCATATAGATATAAACAAATATTAAGCAAGAGACAGACTTTGTCTCTCTTTTGGAGATTCCTTTCCCAACTGCCAATGCTTTCAAGACTTCGACTTGGTCACACATTCACTCATACAAGTAAATATTCAATGCAACATTGACGTGTCCCTGCCACGTGGTGTCAGCATGCAATTAAAAAATAACATATCAATAAAGTAAACCCACTATTTTCATAACCACCCGCATCGACCACTTCCAATCATCAACACATAAGATTAGTTGGATTCAATTTATCTACTTGTCATTTTCTGACTCCACCGTGATTTGTATTCAATATTTTCAAACTTTTGAATTTGAAACCAAATATGACCTCAGAAAAACTGGCCGTATGTCATTTAAACATAAAAAAAAAAAAAAAAAAAAAAATATGCAGTCATTATCTAGATTAGGACTCAAAATGGTGATGGTATGTGCAAAATCGTTACTCTTTGTTTAAAAATTTCAATTTCCACAATACTTTCATTCTTTAAAAAATTTTAGACTATAAATCAGAGTGTGCATATATGTGTGTGTGTGAAACGGTTGTTTTCTTCCTACGACATTGGACCTGTTTGGAAGGGGCTGAAAACCTCAATTTTCTTTTTTATTTTATAGGAAAAAAGGTCTGGTCTCTTTGGATCCAAACTTATTGGAGAGTTTTTCCATCATTTTTTTGGGTAAAAACAACTTTTATCAACACAAAGGAAAATTTGAAAAATGGGACTTATCAAATGACTTTCAAAGAAAAACCGACTTTTTTGAAAACATTCCAAACATTTACAAGAGTTTTTTTAACTCTGACTTTTTCATTTCATTTTTCAAACCTTTGTTTCGTACAAAAAAAAGTCGGTTCTCAACGAGCCTATTTACTATTCTGAATTATTTCTTCTTTTTTTTTTTTGGCTCCTCCATTAGAAAGAGTAATGGAACTTCAGACTAAACTCACCCATTAGGTAACTTCACCAAGAGCGCAAAGCCAAGATTGGCACCTAACCGCTCACCTTTGGACATGCCAACAACTTTTTGTTCTACTTCTCCGCCAACACATTTGCAGCTGTAGTTGACTGCTTAATACTTTAAAGCTTTGCTTGAAGGAATATTGGATTAAAAGAAANAAGAAACAAAGGGTATTATGAGCATTTTAAGAGTGGACACCAAATCCTCTCCTCTCCCTTTATTGCATATAGATATAAACAAATATTAAGCAAGAGACAGACTTTGTCTCTCTTTTGGAGATTCCTTTCCCAACTGCCAATGCTTTCAAGACTTCGACTTGGTCACACATTCACTCATACAAGTAAATATTCAATGCAACATTGACGTGTCCCTGCCACGTGGTGTCAGCATGCAATTAAAAAATAACATATCAATAAAGTAAACCCACTATTTTCATAACCACCCGCATCGACCACTTCCAATCATCAACACATAAGATTAGTTGGATTCAATTTATCTACTTGTCATTTTCTGACTCCACCGTGATTTGTATTCAATATTTTCAAACTTTTGAATTTGAAACCAAATATGACCTCAGAAAAACTGGCCGTATGTCATTTAAAAATAAAAAAAAAAAAAAAAAAAAAATAGTATGCAGTACGCTAAAGCAGAACAGAGAGCCCTCCAACGTCTCAACTATTATATATATACGAGAAAGACAACCCACAATCAGTGACCAAGAAGACTAACCCGACGGTCAAAAAATCGAACAGCCCTCGAATCCTGCAAAAGCAATTAGGTTTTTTTTCTTGAAAAAAACTTTTCTCAACATTGTCCAACTAAACAGACACACTAATAAGAGGAGTGATTGCTTACATTGGGTAGGGTTCTGAAAAAAGAGAGAAACCCATGTGCTTGTTTAGCATCTACAAATTTAATCAGCAATACACAATAAATAAGTTAATAAACTCATCACATTATCGATAATAAACAAATTTTAAGAGAGAGCTTTTTGTTCATACCCAGTTTGAGCTCAGGAAGCTTGTTCTGTTCCAGCAAATCTTCATCCATTTTTTGGGCGATTCTTTGTGAGATAAACCAGAGGGTTTCTGAACTCAACTTGTTATACACACCCTATATGCGTCTGTGTATGGTTCTTGGTGATGAGTATTGGCGGGAATGATAATGGTGGGTTATGTACGATATGAGGAGGTGCATTGGGCTCGCCGCGCGCGTGCTTAATCCCTCGTGCTTCCTTTTCTGTTACACTCACGGTCCCCTATAGTTGCAGAAATTACAGTTCATCTCTTATAGATTTGAAGTCAATTTAACAACCTGAAATACCTATTTTACCCTTGCTAAATTTACAAAATCAATAAGAGAAAAAATTAAGAATATAAGGGAAGGATGAGATAAGAGTTTGATAGGGGTTTTTTTTTGGTAGAACTTCATTCACACTCGTAGTTATTTATATATTCAATGACATCCCCTACATCTTTTAAAATTTTACTGACACTCTTAGAAGTTGTCAGGCCATTATATATCAATATTCTTATATATAATATATGTATTTTATATAATGTATTTATTTTTTTATACATGAAACACTAAATTAACTATAGTTAAGTTACTTAATCGGGCATACTTAATAAACACAACCAAACCCAACCCTTGAATGTTGATCATTCTCATTCCCATTCCCATTCCCACTAACACTTCAAGCCAAAGCTCCTTCAAACCCTTTGTCTGCTAAGCACGATCATCGCCCTTCACACCCCCTCCCTAATATGAGTAGGAAGGTTTTAAAGAAGTAAAGAAGGCTTGTGAAGCGAAGAGGTTGAAGAAACTTTATGAATTGGAGAGACTGAAGAAGCTCTGTGAATTGAAGACCAATTAGGTACGCAATCATTTATGTTCATTTATTGTTGGATGTGAATTTTTTAACTGACTTTCGTTGTTATTGGGTATTGGGTTATGATTCGAATTAGGGTTTTATCCAATTTAGCTTTTGTCCATACTAAGAAATGTTAAAAAATGCAAATATATTGTTGTCATGATTGGCTTCTGAGTTGAATTAGGATTTTTTAAGAATTAGGGTTTATGTTAACAGAATGTTTGTTAATGGACAAAAATGGTTGTGAATGTTCATGACTTGATTATACATTATGATGACCAACAACTCTTAGTACAAAAGGTTAATCCTAGGCATTGCCATGTGCACTTATTGTCGGATGTATTCATGTTGTTCAACACATCTGATTCTATTTGTTTAGCTTTCAAACTTTACTATGATGTGACTTGTTCTAATAGCAAAAGGTTAGTGGAGGATGACAATGATTTGATGGAGATGTTTGACATGCATAGAAATAGAGAACAAATAAATGTACATGTTGTTGCAGAAGGAACTATGAATGTAATGCAATCCCCCAGAGTCAAGGCACTAAGAAGCATGGCAATGAAAAAATCAGGGTAATGGGAATCAGGTCAATGAGAACCAGGGTTATGTTAATGAGAATCGAGGCAATGAGAAAAGTTTTGGTGTTGTTGGTTCAACGCAACTTTGTATATTTTGTGTAGCCTAAACTGAATAGTTTTTTTTTTTTTTGTGAACAAGTTGCAAACTAGTTGTAACAATGCATTGATGCTAAGTATGGAATGGGTAAACTTATTAGTGGGAATGATTTTTGTTGTTCATTACCATTTTGTCTAAGTATGCATGTAATGGGCAACCTTAGCAAGTGCAAACATTACTAAATGATACATATACAACATAGTGCAAACTCATAGATTACCAATAACACAGATACATATATAAGAAAACAACATATCCAGTTAGTTAGTTTGTTACATCTTCATCAAGAGAACCATTATAACCAACATTTGCAATGTAACACCCTAACCTAACTCTTGCAAAACAGAGCGCTAATAGCCTCCATAAGAAATGAATAATACAATATTCAAACAATGATTAAGCTCTGATACCAAACTGTGAAACCCCAACCCAATCCTTGAATTAAAACAAAATCTCAAGAATCATCAAAACTGTTTCAACCCATACATAACCTAAAAATCCAAAACTTAATTCATGCATATACAGTAATTAAAATATAAATTAAACTCCATAAACAACATCCCAACATCCTAATTAGATTAGGTTTAAAGTGGTATCAGAGCAAAGGTTTGAGATTCTATAGATTGTCATAGGTTTAGTTACTTAGAATGACGACTTGTGGGTAGTAGAGGAAATTGATTTGTGATGAACATAAATTTATCGTATTAAAGACTTTGTCTATGGTGACTTATTTATCTATTTACGGATTAACTTTGATTTTATAGGAACTGACTTTCAAGGATGATTTGTGCACGAGCTATTTGGATTGAGGTCACACCAATACGGTTACTATTTTACTAGAGTTGCACAGCGGTAGCGTAGTAGAACAATCAAGTGAAAACCAAGTGAAAGTGATAAAAGGATATGTGTGTAAAATGAAAAATAATGCGGATACGTAAGAACATTAAGGTAAGTATACTTTTTGAATTGACACTTCAATATTAGTGTATTAGTTTAAATATTTTTATTATAATGTAATGTCAAATTTTGAGAACGAAATTTGTTTTAAGGTTGGTTGACTGTAACGACTTGGTATTTGGAGACTTAAAATAGGAACTGAAATAGTTGTATGTGTGATTAAGAGTTCGAGAATTTTTGGTTACGGATCAAATTGAATGTCAATTCGATGATAAAAAATTATATTGATAATTTTTTCATACTTGATTTAAGATGTGTATAATTTTAGGAAAAAAATATATATTTATTAATTTTTGAAAATTAATTAAGAAAATGAAAAATGACGGAATTTCCCTAAGGTACCAAGCACCTCATGAGGCAATCTGTTGGTGGGTAGGTGAGGTATCTTCTCTACATGTCTTCCACAGAGAGTTTAACTTAGCTCAAGGGGGGTATAAGAGGGGGAAATTTGGTGATAGAGAGAGAGATAAAAGAAGAGAGCAAGAGATAGATAGATAGAGAAGGAGGAGTTCGAGAAGCTTATCGTAAGATCTGAGTTTTGAATTTTCACCGAAAAGTGTTTTGAATAGCCGAAGGTATACTCTTAGCTTTATGTGGATGCTGGAAATCTATTTACAAGTTTTGTTTATGAGTTGGTTGGTGTAAGTGAATGTTTTATGGATTTTAATCTTGCATAGAGGTAGATTTCTATAACATGGGTCTTGAATTAATGGGTTTTGGTGGTTGGGATGCTATCTTGGAAGGTCAAGGAGAGGTGTGGGGATTGTTTGGTGGTGAGTTCTGGTTGGAAATGGTGATGGAATGGAGTTGCAGGGGATAAAACAAGGGTCGAACCGGTATAAGGCTTGTTGAACCAGTACATCGGGGTTTTTTTTTTTTGAGATGAAGTTGCACTAGTACATCAGGACCATTGGACACTTTGATGACACATGTGGGTGTGTCCGATGACCAAATAACCTACGGTCAGCCCCAAAAGTTCTGTATCATCCATATGGAGGTGTCAATAAAATTTGAGATCATTCCGATACCTGAAACTATATGTGGTGTGAAATATCTATTTTGCCCTCCGGAGTCAATTCAACCTACTTCTGGAGGGATTTTGACCAAACCAATTTTACACCACTTTTAAATAGTTATTTATAGTATGTGTATGACGTTTTGTTGAAAAAAAAACGTCATTTCATTTTTGGCAGTTTTAGGATGTGTTTTGCAATTGTTAGAGTTTCTCAATTCCAAATTGAGCGAGATTTTCCAAACTCCTTTAAAACTTATGAAATATATTATTTATGATGCTCTAGCATGCTTTGAAATATATAATTGGGTGTTTTGAATATTTACTTAGATCTGGGCCCGGATTAGGGTAGTTAAGTGCAGTTTACATTAATTGTTCATGTTGATTGTATCATTGGAAATGATTGAAACTCTGGGATTCTTTTTAAATGAAATGTAAGTGTATAACTGTTGAGTGGCAGAGGGTTTACGTACCAAGTTGAGGCCGTAGAGGGTTTCTCATTGAGTTCGTAAATGCCTAGGTGATCCTGTTGGTCTTTAGACTTGGATACCAAATTGTTACTAGAGCGAGTAAAAGTCCCCCGAAAGGTTGAATCGTATATTCGTATTGACACTGAGTGGTCTATTAGGATGAGCGTCCATCGATGCAACACTGTATTGATGTTATAATCATATTGTTGTTTTCAACTTAACTGTTTTTGTTCAATGTTTTTTACTCTATTACTTACGTATAAAATGAACTATTTTGATATTGCTCAATCATGTCAAATATGATATTTTCAAATCACATGTTTTAGAATTGAGCTACTCTATTGAGCTATTGATGCTCACTCTACATTATTTTTTTTTTTTAGATTAGCAGGTAGCGGAGAGGTTCGTGAAAGTTTGAACTACCAGCTATCTTGGTTTCCATTCTAAGTGTTCAGGGCCGGCCCAACAGTGTAGTCAAAAAAGCGGGGGCTTTAGGCCCAAATAAAAAAGAAGGCCCCATATTTTCTAATATATAGTGTAATTAAGCCCAAATTTTTAAATACGTAACAATATAAATTCCACAAAAATCCCAAATAAAGTGTACACTAAACAACTAAATTTTAGATTCCATAGTTGAGCTCAAAAATACAGTCCACACATTTTGTTGCAACGGTCAAAACTCAATGCAGTAAAACAAAAAATGTAAAAGCAAAACTCTCCTTTCTCTCTCACACACATTCACACTCTTACATCTCCAATTAAACACAAACAAAACTCAATATCTCTCTCACGCACATGCAACTTTTTATTTTAAATCATACACCAAACTAAACCCACATAATATAAACACTTATTTTACAAACTTTGATCGACAAAGAAATAAAATATCAAATTTTAATGTTGTAAATAACCGTAACAAATCAAACTGTATTTTTTTATATTTTTTTTATAATTTTAAGCTAATGATATATTATGTAATTATAGATACCATATGATTATTTAGAACTAATTTGTTGATTATGTATTATAAATATGGAACTAGAAAATAGTCAATTGGATATGAAATTTTTTTCTTAAAAATGAAAATTTTAAAATAATTGAATCTCAAAATGATCTATTTATTCCTACTACTAAACAAAACATCAT